CGCTAGTTAACTGCTGGTTTAAGCGTCTGAACGCTAGTTAACTGCTGGTTTAAGCGTCTGAACGCTAGTTAACTGCTGGTTTAAGCGTCTGAACGCTAGTTAACTGCTGGTTTAAGCGTCTGAACGCTAGTTAACTGCTGGTTTAGGCGTCTGAACGCTAGTTAACTGCTGGTTTAGGCGTCTGAACGCTAGTTAACTGCTGGTTTAAGCGTCTGAACGCTAGTTAACTGCTGGTTTAGGCGTCTGAACGCTAGTTAACTGCTGGTTTAAGCGTCTGAACGCTAGTTAACTGCTGGTTTAAGCGTCTGAACGCTAGTTAACTGCTGGTTTAAGCGTCTGAACGCTAGTTAACTGCTGGTTTAAGCGTCTGAACGCTAGTTAACTGCTGGTTTAAGCGTCTGAACGTTAGTTAACCGCTGGTTTAGGCGTCTGAACGCTAGTTAACCGCTGGTTTAGGCGTCTGAACGCTAGTTAACTGCTGGTTTAGGCGTCTGAACGCTAGTTAACTGCTGGTTTAAGCGTCTGAACGCTAGTTAACTGTTGGTTTAGGCGTCTGAACGCTAGTTAACTGCTGGTTTAAGCGTCTGAACGCTAGTTAACTGCTGGTTTAGGCGTCTGAACGCTAGTTAACTGCTGGTTTAAGCGTCTGAACGCTAGTTAACTGCTGGTTTAGGCGTCTGAACGCTAGTTAACCGCTGGTTTAGGCGTCTGAACGCTAGTTAACCGCTGGTTTAGGCGTCTGAACGCTAGTTAACCGCTGGTTTAGGCGTCTGAACGCTAGTTAACTGCTGGTTTAAGCGTCTGAACGCTAGTTAACTGCTGGTTTAAGCGTCTGAACGCTAGTTAACTGCTGGTTTAAGCGTCTGAACGCTAGTTAACTGCTGGTTTAAGCGTCTGAACGCTAGTTAACTGCTGGTTTAAGCGTCTGAACGCTAGTTAACTGCTGGTTTAAGCGTCTGAACGCTAGTTAACTGCTGGTTTAGGCGTCTGAACGCTAGTTAACTGCTGGTTTAGGCGTCTGAACGCTAGTTAACTGCTGGTTTAAGCGTCTGAACGCTAGTTAACTGCTGGTTTAGGCGTCTGAACGCTAGTTAACTGCTGGTTTAAGCGTCTGAACGCTAGTTAACTGCTGGTTTAGGCGTCTGAACGCTAGTTAACTGCTGGTTTAAGCGTCTGAACGCTAGTTAACTGCTGGTTTAAGCGTCTGAACGCTAGTTAACTGCTGGTTTAAGCGTCTGAACGCTAGTTAACTGCTGGTTTAGGCGTCTGAACGCTAGTTAACTGCTGGTTTAAGCGTCTGAACGCTAGTTAACTGCTGGTTTAGGCGTCTGAACGCTAGTTAACCGCTGGTTTAGGCGTCTGAACGCTAGTTAACCGCTGGTTTAGGCGTCTGAACGCTAGTTAACCGCTGGTTTAGGCGTCTGAACGCTAGTTAACTGCTGGTTTAAGCGTCTGAACGCTAGTTAACTGTTGGTTTAGGCGTCTGAACGCTAGTTAACTGCTGGTTTAAGCGTCTGAACGCTAGTTAACTGCTGGTTTAGGCGTCTGAACGCTAGTTAACTGCTGGTTTAAGCGTCTGAACGCTAGTTAACTGCTGGTTTAGGCGTCTGAACGTTAGTTAACCGCTGGTTTAGGCGTCTGAACGCTAGTTAACCGCTGGTTTAGGCGTCTGAACCAGGGATGGAAATTAACTTTTTTGTCCACCGGCCACTGTGGCTGGTGGATTTCAAAATCTACCAGCCACTCAATGTTTTTACCAGCCACTTTCTTGTTTTTAACCGACAATGTGTAACTGCATGTGAAAATTAATACTACAAGAATACTTAAGCAGTTTATTTAATCTCAAGTCTCAATGAAATACTGACATTTTCTCTTTCTCTCACCCTCGGCCTCATCCACCTAATCTGTCATTTATTTTTGTTTTGATGATAATTTGAGCCAGCCTCCAAAAGTAAATAACCTGTCCAGTGATTTTTTTTTTCTCTCACACAACACTCTCCAGACACGGATTTATGAGCTATAGTATGTTGGTTGCCTTTACATTAGAATAATATTTAATATAATCTAGATATGAAATGGAATAAATAGCATTCAATACAAAATGAATATGTCTCATATATTGAAATCAAGTTTTATGTGATAAAATATTTGCTTTGTTGTGCATTAGAACCACATCAGGCATTTAGTACAAAATAATTTATTGAAGCATCCAGATACTTCACCACGTGACAGCAGCTAGGCTCCTGATTGGTTAACGCGGCGCGAATTGACGCCAAAGTTCAGATTTTTCAACTCGGGCGGCAGACGCGAATTCGCGTCAAACGCGTGAATGCACAAAAGCACTCAATAAAATCATGCGCGCGGAACGCGTCAGACGCTCGAACTTGCCGCGCGAATGAGGCGTATTCGCATCTACCACGGCGCGCTCTACACCTCATTCGCGCCGCAGGAATTTTTTACGCGCGTAACGCGTCTTTGCATTGACTTAACAATGAAATCACTCACGCCAGACGCTCTATTCTCTCTGGTGTGAACGCACCATGATGTTTTCTCTGCAGACCTCTATGCCTGCGATGTAACGCCACATTTTTGTTTGAAGGTGTGCCTCCTCTAAAAGTGTCCGCCGTCCGGGTGAAACAGTATGCTATTTTTATTTACCCGCCACAGTGGCCGGTAGGTGAAGCGAGTTTACCCGCCACAACACAAAATCACCCGCATTTGGCTGGTGGCGGGTGCTAATTTCCATCCCTGGTCTGAACGCTAGTTAACTGCTGGTTTAGGCGTCTGAACGCTAGTTAACTGCTGGTTTAAGCGTCTGAACGCTAGTTAACTGCTGGTTTAGGCGTCTGAACGCTAGTTAACTGCTGGTTTAAGCGTCTGAACGCTAGTTAACTGCTGGTTTAGGCGTCTGAACGCTAGTTAACTGCTGGTTTAGGCGTCTGAACGCTAGTTAACTGCTGGTTTAAGCGTCTGAACGCTAGTTAACTGCTGGTTTAAGCGTCTGAACGCTAGTTAACTGCTGGTTTAAGCGTCTGAACGCTAGTTAACTGCTGGTTTAGGCGTCTGAACGCTAGTTAACCGCTGGTTTAGGCGTCTGAACGCTAGTTAACCGCTGGTTTAGGCGTCTGAACGCTAGTTAACCGCTGGTTTAGGCGTCTGAACGCTAGTTAACCGCTGGTTTAAGCGTCTGAACGCTAGTTAACCGCTGGTTAAGGTATCTGAACGCTAGTTAACTGCTGGTTTAAGCGTCTGAACGCTAGTTAACTGCTGGTTTAAGCGTCTGAACGCTAGTTAACTGCTGGTTTAGGCGTCTGAACGCTAGTTAACTGCTGGTTTAGGCGTCTGAACGCTAGTTAACTGCTGGTTTAAGCGTCTGAACGCTAGTTAACTGCTGGTTTAAGCGTCTGAACGCTAGTTAACTGCTGGTTTAAGCGTCTGAACGCTAGTTAACTGCTGGTTTAGGCGTCTGAACGCTAGTTAACCGCTGGTTTAGGCGTCTGAACGCTAGTTAACCGCTGGTTTAGGCGTCTGAACGCTAGTTAACCGCTGGTTTAGGCGTCTGAACGCTAGTTAACCGCTGGTTTAGGTGTCTGAACGCTAGTTAACCGCTGGTTTAGGTGTCTGAACGCTAGTTAACCGCTGGTTTAGGCGTCTGAACGCTAGTTAACTGCTGGTTTGAGCGTCTGAACGCTAGTTAACTGCTGGTTTGAGCATCTGAACGCTAGTTAACTGCTGGTTTGAGCGTTTGAACGCTAGTTAACTGCTGGTTTTGAGCGTCTGAACGCTAGCTAACTGCTGGTTTAGGCGTCTGAACGTTAGCTAACTGCTGGTTTAAGCGTCTGAACGCTAGTTAACTGCTGGTTTAGGCGTCTGAACGCTAGTTAACTGCTGGTTTAAGCGTCTGAACGCTAGTTAACTGCTGGTTTAGGCGTCTGAACGCTAGTTAACTGCTGGTTTAGGCGTCTGAACGCTAGTTAACTGCTGGTTTGAGCGTCTGAACGCTAGACTGCTGGTTTAGGCGTCTGAACGCTAGTTAACTGCTGGTTTAAGCGTCTGAACGCTAGTTAACTGCTGGTTTAGGCGTCTGAACGCTAGTTAACTGCTGGTTTAGGCGTCTGAACGCTAGTTAACTGCTGGTTTAAGCGTCTGAACGCTAGTTAACTGCTGGTTTAGGCGTCTGAACGCTAGTTAACTGCTGGTTTCAGCGTCTGAACGCTAGTTAACTGCTGGTTTAAGCGTCTGAACGCTAGTTAACTGCTGGTTTAGGCGTCTGAACGCTAGTAAACTGCTGGTTTAGGCGTCTGAACGCTAGTTAACTGCTGGTTTAGGCGTCTGAACGCTAGTTAACCGCTGGTTTAGGCGTCTGAACGCTAGTTAACTGCTGGTTTAGGCGTCTGAACGCTAGTTAACCGCTGGTTTAGGCGTCTGAACGCTAGTTAACTGCTGGTTTAGGCGTCTGAACGCTAGTAAACTGCTGGTTTAGGCGTCTGAACACTAGTTAACTGCTGGTTTAAGCGTCTGAACGCTAGACTGCTGGTTTAGGCGTCTGAACGCTAGTTAACTGCTGGTTTAGGCGTCTGAACGCTAGTTAACTGCTGGTTTGAGCGTCTGAACGCTAGACTGCTGGTTTAGGCGTCTGAACGCTAGTTAACTGCTGGTTTAAGCGTCTGAACGCTAGTTAACTGCTGGTTTAGGCGTCTGAACGCTAGTTAACTGCTGGTTTAGGCGTCTGAACGCTAGTTAACTGCTGGTTTAAGCGTCTGAACGCTAGTTAACTGCTGGTTTAGGCGTCTGAATTGTAATTAACTGCTGGTTTAAGCGTCTGAACGCTAGTTAACAGCTGGTTTAGAGTAAGAGCGTTTGATCTCAGCCTCCAACTCAAATTTTTATAACAATATTTTGCTTGTTTTGTCTTATTTTAAATAATTTTCGGTCATCCCGAGGCCTGAGCAGTGACAGATCTCCACAGAGATGTTCTGAGAATCATGGGAAGAGCAAACCTCTATGATATAGTCCTTTCCATCTTTGCCGTGGACGGCTTTGACAGCGCAGATGTCCAGACCACCGAACATCTCCGAGCACGAGTCCACCCACACACGATACCTACACACACACACACACACACACACACACACACAGAACATCATGATCTGAGCGTCACACACCTGCTGGGGTCAGTGTGATGTGTTTGAGTGACACCTGTCAGTCATGGCGATCTGCTCCAGCATGGCTGAACCCGTGTTGGCCTTCCAGTTTCCAGAGATGGACGTCCTCCTGAAACAAACCATCATTTTTTCAGTAAACAAGACTTAATATTTTCAGTCATTTTGATCTCCAGTAAATGTATCTTGATTGTTCAGATATTTGTGCTGGATTAAAATAAACCCCAGTGCAGGTTCTCACATGTAGGCTTTGTAGTTTGTGCCGATCTTCTGGATGCGGATGTCGTACTTCGAGGCGACGAAGGGTTCGGTCGTGGCGTAGGTTTTAGCGATCGCAACCACACTGGTGATGTCCTGGAAGTCATTCGCCGTCTCCACCTTTACCTGGAGAAACACACAAGCTCTTTTTATCTCATTCATACTATATTAGTACAGTGATTTAAAACTATACACACAGTCACACACACACACACACACACACACACACACACACACACACACACACACACACACACACAAAAGAATGGCTTCAGCCTCACATGACAGTAAAATACAGTTTTCTACTATCGTTTTCTAGAAAACCGCTGGTTTATTTTAAACTAACTCACTGATAAACTTCTGGAGGCACTTCCTGTGCTTCAGGAAATGACTGACAATGACGAGACATGAACATGAACATGAATGTGACCCCGTGACCCCTGTGACCCCGTGACTGTTCTAGTGATGAGTCACAATGATTGTCAGCAAATTCATTTCACTCTTCTAGAACATTGTGATGCGGAAAACCCCATCATGCCCTCCACCCAGACCTCACACACACACACACACACACACATCTGAGATCATGAGAGCGACTGACCTCCACCCACTCACTGTACACACACATACACACACACACACACACACACACACACACATCTGAGATCATGAGAGCGACTGACCTCCACCCACTCACACACACAATGTACATAAACACACACACACACACACACCCACAGTACATAAACACACACACACAGTACATAAACACAAACACACACACACACACAAACTAATGCACACACACTGTACATAAACACACACACACACACACACACACACACACACAGTACATAAACACACACACACACACAGTACATAAACATGCAAACACACACACACACACACACACACACTGTACATAAACACACACACACACACACACACACACTGTACATAAACACAGACACTTACTCATACACACACTGTACATACACACACACACACACACACACTCACTCACTCATACACACACACTGTACATACACATACACAAACAGAGCTTCACAGATGGACCAATCAGAGGGCAGTACGGGATGACATCATCAGGATCATACCTTTCCCATGCCGGCATAGGCGTGTCCCATCTTCACCACCACTGGGAATGTTGCTGTGGGCAGCTGGAAGAGAGAAGGACACACACACACACACAGATGTATTTTAGGGTGATGTTGGTTTTATCCTGACTGAAATGTTCTGGGAACGGGATGTGAGGAGACCGCGGTGTTTGGGAAAACAAATTCTGATCAAAGACAGACGCCCAGTGATTCCTGCAGGGAACATGCAAACACACACACCTGATCAACCAGATCTGATCACATGATCTGAGGTCAGTCTGAATCACCTGTGGAATCGGTTCAGGAGTCGTTTATCTGATGCTTTATGATCTGAGGTCAGTCTGAATCACCTGTGGAATCGGTTCAGGAGTCGTTTATCTGATGCTTTATGATCTGAGGTCAGTCTGAATCACCTGTGGAGTCGGTTCAGGAGTCGTTTATCTGATGCTTTATGATCTGAGGTCAGTCTGAATCACCTGTCGAATCGGTTCAAGAGTCGTTTATCTGATGCTTTATGATCTGAGGTCAGTCTGAATCACCTGTAGAATCGGTTCAGGAGTCGTTTATCTGATGCTTTATGATCTGAGGTCAGTCTGAATCACCTGAAGAATCGGTTCAGGAGTCGTTTATCTGAGGCTTTATGATCTGAGGTCAGTCTGAATCACCTGTAGAATCGGTTCAGGAGTCGTTTATCTGATGCTTTATGATCTGAGGTCAGTCTGAATCACCTGAAGAATCGGTTCAAGAGTCGTTTATCTGAGGCTTTATGATCTGAGGTCAGTCTGAATCACCTGAAGAATCGGTTCAGGAGTCGTTTATCTGAGGCTTTATGATCTGAGGTCAGTCTGAATCACCTGAAGAATCGGTTCAGGAGTCGTTTATCTGATGCTTTATGATCTGAGGTCAGTCTGAATCACCTGAAGAATCGGTTCAGGAGTCGTTTATCTGAGGCTTTATGATCTGAGGTCAGTCTGAATCACCTGTAGAATCGGTTCAGGAGTCGTTTATCTGATGCTTTATGATCTGAGGTCAGTCTGAATCACCTGAAGAATCGGTTCAAGAGTCGTTTATCTGAGGCTTTATGATCTGAGGTCAGTCTGAATCACCTGAAGAATCGGTTCAGGAGTCGTTTATCTGATGCTTTATGATCTGAGGTCAGTCTGAATCACCTGTAGAATCGGTTCAGGAGTCGTTTATCTGATGCTTTATGATCTGAGGTCAGTCTGAATCACCTGAAGAATCGGTTCAAGAGTCGTTTATCTGATGCTTTATGATCTGAGGTCAGTCTGAATCACCTGTAGAATCGGTTCAGGAGTCGTTTATCTGATGCTTTATGATCTGAGGTCAGTCTGAATCACCTGAAGAATCGGTTCAAGAGTCGTTTATCTGAGGCTTTATGATCTGAGGTCAGTCTGAATCACCTGTCGAATCGGTTCAAGAGTCGTTTATCGGATGCTTTATGATCTGAGGTCAGTCTGAATCACCTGTAGAATTGGTTCAGGAGTCGTTTATCTGATGCTTTATGATCTGAGGTCAGTCTGAATCACCTGAAGAATCGGTTCAGGAGTCGTTTATCTGAGGCTTTATGATCTGAGGTCAGTCTGAATCACCTGTAGAATCGGTTCAGGAGTCGTTTATCTGATGCTTTATGATCTGAGGTCAGTCTGAATCACCTGAAGAATCGGTTCAAGAGTCGTTTATCTGAGGCTTTATGATCTGAGGTCAGTCTGAATCACCTGTAGAATCGGTTCAGGAGTCGTTTATCTGATGCTTTATGATCTGAGGTCAGTCTGAATCACCTGAAGAATCGGTTCAAGAGTCGTTTATCTGAGGCTTTATGATCTGAGGTCAGTCTGAATCACCTGTCGAATCGGTTCAAGAGTCGTTTATCTGATGCTTTATGATCTGAGGTCAGTCTGAATCACCTGAAGAATCGGTTCAGGAGTCGTTTATCTGATGCTTTATGATCTGAGGTCAGTCTGAATCACCTGAGGCTTGAACGTCGTTTATCTGAGGCTTTATGATCTGAGGTCAGTCTGAATCACCTGTAGTATCGATTCAGGAGTCGTTTATCTGATGCTTTATGATCTGAGGTCAGTCTGAATCACCTGAAGTATCGGTTCAGGAGTCGTTTATCTGATGCTTTATGATCTGAGGTCAGTCTGAATCACCTGTAGAATCGGTTCAGGAGTCGTTTATCTGAGGCTTTATGATCTGAGGTCAGTCTGAATCACATGAAGAATCGGTTCAGGAGTCGTTTATCTGATGCTTTATGATCTGAGGTCAGTCTGAATCACCTGTGGAATCGGTTCAAGAGTCGTTTATCTGATGCTTTATGATCTGAGGTCAGTCTGAATCACCTGTGGAATCGGTTCAAGAGTCGTTTATCTGATGCTTTATGATCTGAGGTCAGTCTGAATCACCTGTGGAATCGGTTCAAGAGTCGTTTATCTGATGCTTTATGATCTGAGGTCAGTCTGAATCACCTGTGGAATCGGTTCAAGAGTCGTTTATCTGATGCTTTATGATCTGAGGTCAGTCTGAATCACCTGTAGAATCGGTTCAGGAGTCGTTTATCTGATGCTTTATGATCTGAGGTCAGTCTGAATCACCTGTGGAATCGGTTCAAGAGTCGTTTATCTGATGCTTTATGATCTGAGGTCAGTCTGAATCACCTGTCGAATCGGTTCAAGAGTCGTTTATCTGAGGCTTTATGATCTGAGGTCAGTCTGAATCACCTGTGGAATCGGTTCAAGAGTCGTTTATCTGATGCTTTATGATCTGAGGTCAGTCTGAATCACCTGTGGAATCGGTTCAAGAGTCGTTTATTTGAGGCTTTATGATCTGAGGTCAGTCTGAATCACCTGTGGAATCGGTTCAAGAGTCGTTTATCTGAGGCTTTATGATCTGAGGTCAGTCTGAATCACCTGTGGAATCGGTTCAAGAGTCGTTTATCTGATGCTTTATGATCTGAGGTCAGTCTGAATCACCTGAAGAATCGGTTCAGGAGTCGTTTATCTGAGGCTTTATGATCTGAGGTCAGTCTGAATCACCTGTGGAATCGGTTCAAGAGTCGTTTATCTGATGCTTTATGATCTGAGGTCAGTCTGAATCACCTGTGGAATCGGTTCAAGAGTCGTTTATCTGATGCTTTATGATCTGAGGTCAGTCTGAATCACCTGTGGAATCGGTTCAAGAGTCGTTTATCTGATGCTTTATGATCTGAGGTCAGTCTGAATCACCTGTGGAATCGGTTCAAGAGTCGTTTATCTGATGCTTTATGATCTGAGGTCAGTCTGAATCACCTGTGGAATCGGTTCAAGAGTCGTTCATCTGATGCTTTATGATCTGAGGTCAGTCTGAATCACCTGTAGAATCGGTTCAAGAGTCGTTTATCTGAGGCTTTATGATCTGAGGTCAGTCTGAATCACCTGTGGAGTCGGTTCAGGAGTCGTTTATCTGATGCTTTATGATCTGAGGTCAGTCTGAATCACCTGAAGAATCGGTTCAGGAGTCGTTTATCTGAGGCTTTATGATCTGAGGTCAGTCTGAATCACCTGTGGAATCGGTTCAGGAGTCGTTTATCTGATGCTTTATGATCTGAGGTCAGTCTGAATCACCTGAAGAATCGGTTCAGGAGTCGTTTATCTGATGCTTTATGATCTGAGGTCAGTCTGAATCACCTGTAGAATCGGTTCAGGAGTCGTTTATCTGATGCTTTATGATCTGAGGTCAGTCTGAATCACCTGTGGAATCGGTTCAAGAGTCGTTTATCTGATGCTTTATGATCTGAGGTCAGTCTGAATCACCTGTGGAATCGGTTCAAGAGTCGTTTATCTGATGCTTTATGATCTGAGGTCAGTCTGAATCACCTGTGGAATCGGTTCAAGAGTCGTTTATCTGAGGCTTTATGATCTGAGGTCAGTCTGAATCACCTGAATAATCGGTTCAAGAGTCGTTTATCTGAGGCTTTATGATCTGAGGTCAGTCTGAATCACCTGTGGAATCGGTTCAAGAGTCGTTTATCTGAGGCTTTATGATCTGAGGTCAGTCTGAATCACCTGTGGAATCGGTTCAAGAGTCGTTTATCTGAGGCTTTATGATCTGAGGTCAGTCTGAATCACCTGTGGAATCGGTTCAAGAGTCGTTTATCTGATGCTTTATGATCTGAGGTCAGTCTGAATCACCTGAAGAATCGGTTCAGGAGTCGTTTATCTGAGGCTTTATGATCTGAGGTCAGTCTGAATCACCTGTGGAATCGGTTCAAGAGTCGTTTATCTGATGCTTTATGATCTGAGGTCAGTCTGAATCACCTGTGGAATCGGTTCAAGAGTCGTTTATCTGATGCTTTATGATCTGAGGTCAGTCTGAATCACCTGTGGAATCGGTTCAAGAGTCGTTTATCTGATGCTTTATGATCTGAGGTCAGTCTGAATCACCTGTGGAATCGGTTCAAGAGTCGTTTATCTGATGCTTTATGATCTGAGGTCAGTCTGAATCACCTGTGGAATCGGTTCAAGAGTCGTTCATCTGATGCTTTATGATCTGAGGTCAGTCTGAATCACCTGTAGAATCGGTTCAAGAGTCGTTTATCTGAGGCTTTATGATCTGAGGTCAGTCTGAATCACCTGTGGAGTCGGTTCAGGAGTCGTTTATCTGATGCTTTATGATCTGAGGTCAGTCTGAATCACCTGAAGAATCGGTTCAGGAGTCGTTTATCTGAGGCTTTATGATCTGAGGTCAGTCTGAATCACCTGTGGAATCGGTTCAGGAGTCGTTTATCTGATGCTTTATGATCTGAGGTCAGTCTGAATCACCTGAAGAATCGGTTCAGGAGTCGTTTATCTGATGCTTTATGATCTGAGGTCAGTCTGAATCACCTGTAGAATCGGTTCAGGAGTCGTTTATCTGATGCTTTATGATCTGAGGTCAGTCTGAATCACCTGTGGAATCGGTTCAAGAGTCGTTTATCTGATGCTTTATGATCTGAGGTCAGTCTGAATCACCTGTGGAATCGGTTCAAGAGTCGTTTATCTGATGCTTTATGATCTGAGGTCAGTCTG